TGACTTTTTATTTCCATTTGTTTCCAGGAGTGCTTAGCATTATTGTATCCTGTTTTCTTCTGCTTTTTTGTACTTAACTGCTTTATAACATAACACCCTTTTAGCTATATTATTCATAGTTTTAATAAGAATTTTGACATAGCCAAATAATATTAGGACATGGTACCCATAATGGGCCCAAAATCAAGAACTAGTCTTGTATTCATATGTTGAGACACATCTTGATATTTTCATATAGACTGGTAAAAATTAGTGAGTGTGATTACAGCACTGTGCCTATTGATGGCCGGTGTCAATGCTGGGCTTAAGATCATTAAATCCAAGATGACAACATTCTACAAAGACATACAATTTTGGTTTATTAAATAATTTATGAGAAATAAGTTCATGTCAAAAGATCAGAAGAGGCCTGTATCATGAGCAGCAGAATAATTAACAATGTAAACTGGAATCATTGAGTCAAGAAGAGTAGATCAGTTCTTTGCCTGGTCAATGAGATACATCACCTGTTAGTCTGCTGTAGTACATGAAGGCTAGGTGGCTTAGTTGTAGAATCATGCTGACGATATTTTTTGCTATTGAACAAAATAACTTGTTATGTTCACCAGGGGAAAATCTCTACCTCATCTCACCAAAGATGGCTAAACATTTTGCTTATTATTACAGCACATTTAAACTCTTGGTTATTTTTTCTCTGCAGGGGCATTCACAAGTAATTACAATAAAATATAGTTTAATTTGCTCACTAAAAACTATATATTTGAATAATTTATTTAGCAAAGGATCTGGTTCACCTTCATTTGCAAAAATCACTTTCCAGAAATTAACATTTTGGCCTGAACTGCATTCTTATAATGATAGGGGTGAGGGCTGAATTCTGAATATGATTCTCTAATTTCAAATTTTATGACAATATACTAACATTGTTCAATTCTACTGTTTTCACTTAAAACTGGCAATGTAAATTAAGATAGCAAAGAGAAATCACTGCATATAGATTGCATATAGCACTGAAAACTTAGATATGATGAAGCTGCAATGCCATAACTCTTACAAATAACTTCATTAATGTTTTTAAGTATAACAAACCATTTTGCAAAGGCTCCACCTTTACTTATTAGTACTCATATTTATGAACAGCTGTCTCATTCTTAAATTAAACAAAAATGTATCTTCTGAGGCTAAATTCTTTACCATACATTGCTCTCAAAATCAAGACTTGTCAAGAATGTATACTCAACGAATTACAAAATAAAAATTTCACAATTAGATATTTTAAGATTTGGGCATGTATTTTTAAAATTTGAATTTAAAATATATTTCTATTGTGCTACTTTCTTTCAACAAAATTCAGTAAGATTCTCAAAAGTCAAATTACATTTCTGGTAGGTGATTTTTCTTAAACTTGGCTTGCTAACACCGGTAAGATTACTTCCCTGACATCTGATTTTATGATCACCGTTGTACATTATCATAAGTATATCACTTTAGAAATACTATTTGGAGAGAATGGACTTACCCTTTCTCCTTCAGGTCCCAGCTGTCCTGCTTCTCCAGGAGAGCCAATAAAACCCTTAAAACAAGAAAATAATCTGTATATTATTTCAATTCAATATTCTCCCCATAAGTGATTCTAAATAGAAGTACTAAAAATTTTATTTGTAGTAGTATGAAATTATAAGACACAAGTGCAAATAACTTCTCCTCACCTAATTGCTTTTTTATGCAAAATTTACAGATCAATCTTCCCATTAAAAAAATATACAAAATATAATTTAAGAAATGGTGATGAATAAAAATAAGCCCAAATAATTTCCTTCACTAAATTTTGTAGTGGGCAGAAAATATATGACTATAATTAGATATAATTTAAGACAGAATGGAGGTAACAAAAGAATGTAAGTACAGTGGAGGAAGAGATAACATTTCAATGTGGCAGGAGGCAAAGGCAATCAAAGATGACTTCAAAGGAGACTGTCACTTGAGATAGGTCTAGAGAATAAGTAATATCTTGATAAGCAGAAGCTTCAGAAAGAATGCTCCAAGAGCAATTAGGATAAACAGAGACATAATAGGAAGATTTTGTTAATGGTGATAATTGGGGAGTATTTGTAAATAGTAATTGATCACATTTTATAAATAATATGCTTTGTGTGTAAGATGGTTTTATAGGTAAAATGCTTTCTGTGTAAGACCCATCCTACCTTAATAAAGATTTCAATATGGTCTGAGAAACAATCAATACATATAAATAATAATGCAAGGTACTTCATTCTAACATAATTTAGTTATATCTCACTGGGGAAAATAACCCATTTCATCAATTTTACAGATAAAGTATGTGGTAGTTTGGGGACTAAAGTGAGCCTTGAGTTTCAGAATAAAAATTTTAGACTTCATATATTAGGCAAATGGAAGCTACTAGTTTAGGGAGTATGGTAGTGCATTGATGTTATGTTTTATTTCTAAAATATTAATCTGTTGGTAGGATATAGCATACGGCCATGACAGGAAACACTGAATGCAGGCAAATCTGTTAGAAGGCTCTGTAAGTGGTCTGCATTTGAAGAATTACGGGGTCCAGATCACTGGTTCAACAAACATTATTTTAGTAGCCATTTTGTGTCAGGCACTGGGTTTATACAGATGCATATGAAAATCAGTGCCCTCAAGAATTTCATAGTTTATTAGAAAAGACGGTCATACAGATAAATAACTGTAATATTATATGATAATTGTGACATGATTAAGTAATAGGTGATATGACAAATAGACAATCGGAACTTTGGAAGCAGAATGACCAACTTTGCCTAGAGATAAGATTAATGGTGCTTTACTTTACTGAGGAACAACATTTGAGCTAAGTCCTGAAGAAAAGAAAAGGCAAGGACAACAATACGCCATCAGTCATCAATCAGAATGAAATGACAGAACATTTATAAAAAATTGCAAATAGTCTGTGTGATTGGTGGGCAAGCGGTGACTTTGGAAAGGATGGCAGGGGGTCATATAATGAAGAATCTTTTTTGCTATGACAGAAAATCTGCAATTTACACTGAGTCAAAAAAATTAGACACAGTTTTGATATAATAATATTTTCACTTAGATTACAGTGATTCAAACCTGTCTTTATCTGTCTATAAGAATGAAGAGAAAGATGACTCTAAAGTTTACAGTTGGATTGATAGGCAAATGGTAACCACTCATAGAAATATGGAAAACAAACCGAAAAGCTGAGTTTGATATAAAGATGATGAGTTTTGTTAGTTATTTTGAATTTGTGGTTATAATGAGGTATTCAAATGTAATGATCATGGCAGGGAGTTGGGAGATGTGGGGTTCATAGAAAAAGCTCTGAGAGAAGAAAGTCTGAAGGACAGATATGTCTGAAGGACAGATATGTCTGAAGTCTTAAAGACAGACTAAAAAGTTCTGAGGAGAAAATAATAGGAATGATCACTGATCAGACAGAGGGTGAAATAGTGGTGTGAGATAAGAGCAGTTTTATGGATACAGAGAAAAGCCAAAGTATAAAAGAATTTGAAGTAGAGATACAGGAGGTCATTTTTACTAACTTCTAAATAAAAGCTACTTATTTTGAAACACAGAATGGGTGATTTTTCAGAGTAAATGCTTCCGTAATAGCAAACACTGAAGAATTGCCTGAACCCAGGAGGCGGAGGTTGCGGTGAGCCGAGATCGCGCCATTGCACTCCAGCCTGGGCAACAAGAGCGAAACTCCGTCTCAAAAAAAAAGAATTCAAGCATTACAAAAGTAAATGTCATTTGTACACCCATTCCAGCATTATTCACAAATACCAAAAGGTGGAAGCAACCCAAATGTTCTTTAACAGATGAATGGATAAACTAAGTGTCATATATATATATACACACACACACACACACACACACATATGTGTGTGTGTGTGTATATATATATATATATATATATATATATATAATGGAATAATATTTAGCCTTAAAAATGAAGGATTCTGACACCAGCCACAACATGGATGAACCTTAAAGACAATTATGCTAAGTGCAGTAAGCCAGTCATGAAAGCACAGATAGTGTATGATTCCACTTACATAATGTACTTAGAGCTGTCAATTTCATAGAGACAGAAAGTAGAAGAGTGGTTGCCAGGGACAGGTAGTGGAGAATGGGGAGTTGTTTATTGGGTACAGAGTTTTGGTTTGGGAAGATGAAAAAAGTTTTCAAGATGGATGGTGACAATGGTGGTACAACAATGTGGATGTACTTAAGGCCACTAACTATGTACTTCGAGAGGGTTTATAAATGGAAAATTTTACATTATATATGTTTTATCTTTTTTTAAAAAAAAGGAAAGAGAAAAATGTATCAAGAATCACATCTAAGTTGCCTGGAATAAAAACTTCTGGAAGGTTTTAGTTCCTTAGAGTTTAGTTAAATATTGCCATTAAAAAAGTTGCCACCATCCATGTTGAAAACTTTTTTAGGCATTTTTCCTTGTCAAAGATGCCTAAAATTGCCTTATGTTCCACAGATTGTATGAGCAAGCAAAAATTAAAAGAAAAAAGTGAGAGAGAATTTGTTCCCTTATACATAACTTTGATAAAGTGAAAACACCTATAACTTTCTCACTTGAAAGCCAAGTAGCTGGAGAACGGGAAATATTTCTTTTAAAGTGAAGCATACAAAAGTAAGCATTTAGGATTATGATGACAAGCTATGTACATTTTGAGAATTATCTGTTGATGACTTTAAGTGTAAAGTCAGCTAACTTTTTTTTTTTTTTTAAAAGACATTTATTCAGCGTCACGATCAGACTATTACATTTAGCAATCAGCAGCATGGGTGCAAAAAAAAAAAGAAAAAAAGAAAAAAAATCTACATTAAAACCCCTTGTTGGAATGCTTTACACTTTCCACAGAACAGAAACTAAAATAACCTGTTATACAATTAGTCACAAATACAGTCCTCGAGTTTTTTGCCTATACACATGAGTATTTGTCTAAATCATGTCTTCTTTGTAGCAGCTAGGCCCTGCCACCACTGTGCTTGGCTGAGTTCACAAATCTGTTGTAACCTGTAGCTTCCCTGTCACTTCTCTGGCTCTCCTCTCCTGCTAAGCTTTGTTTCCTAATTAAAATCTTCTGCCACTGCCATAGCTACTGCTGCTACTGGAACTGCCATAGCCACCTTGGTTTTGTGGTTTGGCAAAGTATTGGCTGCCACCACCATAGGGGCCAGAGCTTCTGCCTCCAAAGTTTCCTCCCTTCATGGGTCCAAAATTTGAAGACTGATTGTTGTAACTGCCAAAATCATTGTAGCTTCCACCACCTCCAAAATTGCCTCCATCATTACCAAATCCATTATAGCCATCCCCACTGCCACCATATCCACCACCACCACGGCTGCCACCAAAGCCACCACGACCACCGAAGTTTCCTCCGTGACCAAAGTTGTCATTCCCACCGAAACCACCTCCACGACCACCACCAAAGTTTCCAGAACCACTTCGACCTCTTTGGCTGGATGAAGCACTAGCCATCTCTTGCTTTGACAGGGCTTTCCTAACTTCACAGTTGTGGCCATTCACAGTATGGTATTTCTGAATGACAATCTTATCCACGGAGTCATGGTCATCAAAAGTTACAAAGGCAAAGCCCCTTTTCTTGCCACTGCCTCTGTCAGTCATGATTTCAATCACTTCAATTTTTCCATACTGTTCAAAATAATCTCTTAGGTGATGTTCTTCGGTGTCTTCTTTAATGCCACCAATGAATATTTTTTTCACAGTTAAGTGGGCACCTGGTCTTTGAGAACCTTCTCTTGAGACAGCTCTCTTTGGTTCCACAGCTCTTCCATCCACTTTGTGTGGCTTTGCGTTCATGGCTGCATCCACTTCCTCCACAGTTGCATACGTGACGAACCCAAAGCCCCTGGAGCGCTTGGTGTTTGGATCTCTCATTACCACAGTCTAAGAGCGTTCCCCATTGCTCAAAATGGCTCCTCAGGCTCTCATCGGTTGTTTCAAAGCTCAATCCTCCAATGAAGAGCTTCCTCAGCTGTTCTGGCTCTTTAGGAGACTCTGACTTAGACATGATCGCAGGGAGAAGAGAGACTTTAACGATGCTTCTTCGGCGGCGTCCACGGGCCTAACTTTTGTTTTAATACATCCAACAGGAGTTTTTGTTATAAATAAAAAGACACCCTAACTGGTGTATACTTATCAGTGAACTAAATAATCAATTAATAACTCAAGAATTGAAGTCAGAACTCTGACATAGCCTGTACAGTGTAAGGAGAACATTTTAAAATTATACTATTCTATTGAAAACATCTAAGTAATTGTTTAGATGTATTATAGAGGTTTCTTCGTCATCATTACACTGATTCTAACAGCAGTAAGATGTCAGCAGTACCCAACAAAGAAACCATACAGAGTTGAGGTCATTCTTAAAATACCACCATTAAACTAGAGTTTACCGTGTAATGAAACAAAAAAAAAAAATTAAAAATAATAAATTTTTGCTTTTTGGTTTGAAGGTTGTAGATCTAGTTAGAAGCAATTTTGTATCACCAGCAGGAGCACTAGAGGGCCGGGAGAGGTTCTATACACTTTTACTTTTGGGGGCAGGTAGCACACTATTACATAAAGAAATACCAAAGATGGGTTTAAAAATTATGATTTGTTTTAAATGTTTATATTTGCCAAAATATTTCTGCTAATACCAAACAATACAATCAAATAACTGCCAATGAAAAGCTAATTTATCATGATTCATGAAAATATTCATGTACAATGCATAACATTTAGTATTTATGAATAACAGGACACAAATTAAGTGAAAAACATCTTCTCCTGTAAGTCTGTTTCTATGATTTTCATCTTTTTAACTAGATTTGAAGTTAATGTCAAAAACCTACATTTGATAAAGCTGCATCCTACAACTTCCAACAACTTTATCTTTGATAAAACCGACAAAAATAAATAATCGGGAAAGAATACCCAATTCAATAAATGGTGCTGGAAAAACTGGCTAACCATATGCAGAAGAATGAAATTGGACCCCTACCTCTGATTGAGTTAACACATAAAAATTAACTCAAGATGGATTAAAGACTTAATATGTAAGACCTCAAACTACAAAAATCCTAGAAGAAAACCTAGGACATCCCCTTACAGACATTGACCTAGGGAAAGAATTTATGACTAAATCCTTAAAAGCAACAAATGCAACAAAAACAAAATTTGGCAATTGTGACCTAATTAAACTAAAGGTCTTTTGCAGAGCAAAAGAAACCATCAACAGAGTAAATAGACAACTTACAGAATAGGAGAAAATATCTTCAAACCATGCATCTGACAAAGGACTAATATCCAGAATCTATAAGGAACTTAAACAAATCAACAAGAAAAAAACAAATAACTTCATTAAAAGGTGAGCAAAGGACATGAACAGACACTTCTCAAAAGAAGATATACAAGTGGCCCACAAACATGAAAAAATGTTCAACATAACTAATCAGAGAGATGCAAATCAAAACCACAAAGAGATACCATCTTACACCAGTGAGAATGACTGTTATTAAAAACTGAGAAAATAACATATACTGATGAGGTTTCAGAAAAAAATGGAATGCTTATACACTGTTGGTGGTAATGCAAATTAGTCCAGCCACTGTGGAAACAAGTTTGGAAATTTCTCAACTAAAAATAGAATTACTGCTTGACCCAGCAATCTCATTACTGAGTATATACCCAAAGAAAAATAAATTCTACCAAAAAAAATCTGCACTCACATGTTTATGGCAGTGCTATTCACCATAAAAAAGATGTAGAATCAACCCAAGTGCCCATCAATAGTTGACTGCATGAAGAAAATGTGTTAAATATAGACCATGAAATACTACAGTGCCATAAAAATGAACAAAACTATGTCCTTTGCAGCAACATTGATGCAGCTGGAGGCCATTATCCTAAGCAAATTAGCACAAAAACAGAAAACAAAATACTGCATGTTCTCACTTATAAATGGGAGCTAAACGTTGGCTATACATGGACACAAAGATGGGAACAACAAACACTGTAGATTATGTAAGGAAGGAGGGCCGGAAGAAGGCAACAGTTGAAAAACTACCTATTGGGTACTATGTTCACTACTTTGGCAACAGAATCACTAGAAGCCCAAACCTCGAAATTACACAATATACCCATGTAACAAACCTGAACATACCCCTGAATCTAAAATAATTTTTAATCTACACTTGAGCGGCTTTATGAATGTGAAACCCTCTACTTATTCCAATCATACTCGCAAGTGTGAAACCTAACTAAAGTGTGAAAACCTAACTGAAAGTACAGCTTAAGAGGGTTACAGCCTAGACAACAATTTTCAATACAAATGGGAAAAAGAAAAAACAAAAGGATGTATAATACAATGCGAAAATGGTACACAGAAGAACATAGTTATATGAATCACTGAAGCAAGATGACAAAATGCAATAAGAGTAATTTGAACAGTGCCAAATATATTTTGCATATATTTCTTGGAGTTATTGATTCATGAACAGAAGAAACTCTCAAATTCAAGTAACAATTATAGAATCCATAGTAAATACATGCCATATACTATACACTATACCTTAAACATGCTAATCTTGTTGAATTTTTCACACTACCTGAAAAGTAAGTTTCATCTTAACCATTTAATAAATAATGAGATAAGAAAAACAAAGCCGAGGGAGATGGAAATAACATCAAAAGTCACAAAGCTAGTAAAAGAAGTATTAAGGAAAAAAAAAAGCCTATGTAACTCCACAGCCCATGTTCTTGGCTACTAATCTCTTCTTGCTTCCTAATTCCAAGTCAACATGTGTTTTATGTGCAATTTCTAATAAAAAATATATAACATTTCCTCATTATATGGTTACTTAATGCAAGAACAAAGAGAGCACGAGCTAAAGGTGAAAAGACATTGGTTCTGGTTCTAGCCAGCTATAACTTTGCTAAATCAACTAAGTTCCTTAGCTTACTATTCCTCTCAACAGTAAAATGGGGATGATAGGCCTGTTCTCCTACATCACAGGGTTGATGGCAAAATAAAATAATAAAATACCTATGAAAGTATTTGGAAATGTTTAATAATTTTTTTAAAATGTAAGACATCATTATTGCACATATTGTTTAAATACCTTATGCTTTACTTCTTTAAAAAAGGCATTTTAGATAACGTAAGGCACAAATGTAGACTCTGGAAAATATTTCGCTATTAAAAATAAAGAATTTTTAAAACATACTTTTTAAAATTTTATACACTATATATATGATATGGTTTGAATGTTTTTCCCCTCCAAATCTCATGTTAAAATGTGATTTCTAATGTTGGAGGAAGTGACTGGATCATGTGGGTGGATCCCTCATGGATGGTTTAGCATCATCCCCTTAGTGATAAGTAAGTTCTCAGCTCACGTGAGATCTGGTTGTGTGAAAGAGTCTGGGACCTTCTGTTTTTTTCTCACTTGCACTCACTCTTGCCATGTGACATTGCCTGCTCTCCCTTCACCTTCCACTGTGACTATAAGTTTCCTGAGGCCCTCATAAGATGCAAATGCTGGAGCCATACCTGCATGGCCTGCAGAACTATGAGCCAACTAAACTTCTTTTCTTCATAAATTATCCAGTCTCAGGTATTTATAGTGATGCAAAAAGTGACCAATACAATGTAATATAGCTATTTGTATTTTGCTTCCTTATTGATTAAACATGGCTAACATTTCCTTTAATGGTTTGGAAGTAAAATGGGATGTTCTGGATACGATAAGGTTATTTCCTTCTTTGCAGATATTTCTTTACTCCTGATAGTTTGTGTATAATAAAATCTCAGCCTTGAACTACTATGAATTTCTTCACCTCCTCATATTTTTTATATCATGACTTCCTTAGGTCTGTATCCATTCATATATAAATAATACTACAAATGTTTATAGAGCAGATTCTAACATGTCAGACATTATGCTATGGAAATAAATATAAAATAATGATGCAAAATCTACCACAATGAAACTGCTTTCTGTCATCATAGAAGTGAAAGTAACTACTGTAGTAAGCAAGTGTATTCAGGCTAAATTTGAATTAAATTCAAAGCTACTAAGAGTGTAAAAATGATAAGCATTTTATATATTTCATTCTACTTTTAGGCAAGCGTGCTTAACAAAATGATGGAAATGCCTACTTACTCGTACGCCTTTAGGACCTGGATGACCTTCTGGTCCAGCTAAACCCTGGTGTAAACAAAAGACACTGTCATCACACTACAGTATTTTTAAAGAGTTGTTAATAAATAGATTAATAAAAAGGGCATATAACAAGGTATGATTTTCAAAACTATAGAATTCAGATTACAAATGTTAAGAAATTTTAGAATTTCTGAACCAAAAGAGGAATCGGAAATAATCTATACACAAATATATTTTAGATATAGAAATAAAGTACATTAACACATTGTCAGATTTAAAAAGTTTTTTCATTACATCATTTCTCATTGGAAGACTATTTGTGTTGTTTTAAAACATTCTAATTAACTTATTCTAAATTCCCATAAATTTTTAAAAAGATAAATATATTTTAAACTTTAGATCAATGTTAATATGTTTACATATTCATGTTTTATGTTTTTCATATAACATATTATCATTTGATAGTAAGAGTCTAATATAGAATAACTCCAAGTGTTTTTAAAGTCCTAAAAAATTGAATTTTGTTAACATTATTTTTTTGCTTATTTACTTCCCTCATTCCTAAGAATAACAAAGACAAAAATGTAACTTTATACATTTATTTATTTATTTATTTGACACAGAGTCTCACTCTGTTGCCAGGCTGGAGTGCAGTGGCACGATCTTAGTTCACTGCAACCTCCACCTCCCAGTTCAAGTGATTCTCCTATCTCAGCCTCCCAAGTAGTTGGGACTACAGGCATGTGCCACCATGCCCAGCTAATTTTTGTAATTTTAGTACAAATGAGGTTTCACCATGTTGGCCAGGAAGGTCTCAGTCTCCTGACCTTATGATCCGCCTGCCTCAGCCTCACAAAGTGCTGGGACTACAGGCATGAGCTACCACACCTGGCCTAATTAATTAACTTTAGAAGTATTCAATTCATGAAAACTTAGGAAATTAACCTTGTTCTATTATTAATCTATATGAAGTAGAGAAAGTTAGAAGTTATAAGGGAATACATATAAAATGATTAGAATGAATTTTTAAAACAGTATGCAAATAACTGAATTCAGTTCAGATAAAAGTGTTTGGTAGTGGTATACTGTTTCTCAAGTTTTTATAATTGTGTTATTTAAAAATGATGTTTGTTAAAGGGAGTCTTAACTCTTACAATTACTTTATTTTGTTCAGTGATAGTATTGTAAAATCACAATCAGGGCTGTTTTAAGAACTTATTAACACTTGGGCATTTTAATTTTGAAGGTTCCATTGTATATCACATCAAATATTTAAAAGCCCCATTCTGATTTTAAATAAAACTTTCTGCAGAAAAATTTTAATGGATTTCTACAACTTTCATTTTGAAATTATTTCTCTATAAGTTACTCATTATTTAATAAAAACAACTATTTGAACATTAATTCTCAAAATCAGAAATACAATGTATTAAGAAATAGAAACATAAAGAGAGAAGTCTAAATATAGTTACTGCACCTGCCTGCCAGGGTAACCGGGTGAACCAATATTACCAGCCAATCCTGGAATTCCCTGAAATAATAAATAAAATAAACAGTACAACAAAGCCAAAGGAGGCCCAAGGAAACATATTTGATGTATTTATAGTACACAAGCTTGGAAATAATTTTTCCCCATAAAAATATCGAGTCCTATACATGGTTTATATAACTTAAAGTACCTATATGAAAGGGACAAAAATTGCTAAATAGAAATAAGTAAAGCTATTAGATTAGGGCCCTAAATGATATATTACTGATCATTAATAATGACAATCTAGGAAGGAAAAATCCATAGCTAAAAGAGACATTTATTCTAGAGGAAGAGCTGGTAAATTTCTTAATTACCAGTAACTTTTTTACCAGTTGATTGAACTTTTTCTTGTCTCAATCATCCTGCAATACTCCTTAACTATCTGAGCATGAGCCCCAGAAGACTGAGGGGCAGTAAACCACAAAACCAACCTCTACTTCTTTCCTAAACTTAACCTTACAGTAAGTCTAATTAAGTAAATGGAAACTAAGTGGCAAATATCTTTGCCACTTAGGGTCTGGCATGACATGGGTCTGATCTAGTAAATTTGAATGGTGCTGTGGATT